TGGCTGGATGCTGTCCATCTCGCCCTGAGAAGGAATGACTGACTCCTCAGAGGGGAAGCGCACATGGGCCAAATGGCTCTCAGCCCAGTCACAGGCTGGGACAGCCCAGGGGGGCTTCAGGAGGTGCTAGCGGGACCCTTAGAGCTGGGCTCCTGGCTCCTCCTATGCTTATCATGGCCACATGTGCCTCCACAGTGTTTCCCTGGGGCCCTAGGACATCAGGGCCTCATGAGTCAGATGGGAAACTGAGGCCCAGAGGTGGGAAGGAGCCTCTTGTGCTGAGAGGGAGGGTGGGGGAAAGGCTAGGACCACATGGTGCTTCAGAAGCAAAGCAGGGGCCACAGCCTACACCCCTGGCTTCCAGCCCCCAAGACCTTGCACCAGGGAACTTGCAGCCTTATGGGCAAGATGGAAGTGACTCAGCCCAACAGAATCCAGGGCAGCTTGATGGTAGCAGGGGCCAGGAGAACAGGAAGTCACCAGAGGGAAAAGCAGGGGCTGGAGGCTGAGCCCTTGGCCCATCACTCCTCCCTCGCCCTGACTTTGGATGAACCTCTTTTCTTCCCCTGGCCTCGGTTTCACTGTGTATCCAATAAGGCAAATGGACTCACTGAACTCCCAAGTCTATGACGAGCTCTGTACCAGCTCCAGGACCCCACCCGGAGGGAATGAAGTGTAAGTGCAGTTAAGGCTCAGTACTGTCTTGAGAGCCATCCCCTACTCCCTGCCAAAATGCCCCATTCCTGGAGAACCATCTCTTCAGAGAAAGATAACAGAATCCACAACCTCTAAAATGCATCATCAATGATGTGTAGCACACCATGAGAAGCATTCATCATGCAAATAAGCAGAAAAACATGATTGGTTATCAAGCCATAAAGCAGTTAATAGAAGCTGACCTGGGTAAATATTTGAGTGAACAGACAAGGACTTCAAAATAACTACAATTAATATGTTAACAAAAATACGGGGGAAAGACAGACAAAATGAGTGTAGTGTTTCAGCAGAGGGTTAGACTCTATAAAAAGAATCAAATCAAACTTTTAGAACCCCGATATACTGTATCTGAAATTGAGTAGTTGGTTGGATGGGTTTAACAGGAGACTGGACATAGTAGGCTTGTTGAAGACAGGTCTATAGGAAAATATCAAAACTTACAGCCATTGAAAAAGGAGAGAGGGAGAGAGAGAGAGAATGAATAGTGGAGCAGAGTAAGATCTAAGAGAAACGTGAGACATAACCAAACAGCCTCAGGTACAACTGGAGCTCCAAGAGGAGAAGAATGAGACAGGAGACAGGTGCAATGAATAAAGAAAGCATGGCCAAGAACTTCCCAAATCTAATAAAAAAAATCAAGCCACAAATTTAAGAAACTCCTAAGCAGAATAAATACCAAAAAACCCCACAGAAACCCACACGGAAGCACCTTGCAGTAAAACTGCTGAAAGCAGGAAGAAACACAACGGGACGGGGCTCCCCAGGGCTCACATGGGCCTGTACCTTGGGAAAAGAAGGTGCACAGTGGCTTTGATGAAGCAAATCTTCCACTGGCAAATGGGCCCGGTGGGAAAAAAATAGACCATCCCTAGGCTTGGGAAGAATTAAAGTGCAGTCACATACCCATTTAGTGCACAACATTAGCTAAGTATTTCTAATCAGATAACCTGCCCAGATCATCTGGGATCCACAGGGAAGCCCACAGTATGCATTACTGGAGTGAGTCAGGCCCCTTCCATCAGGGCCGGGCCTTTCCATCGGGGCCGGGCTTTTAATGCAAGATCAGGAGGGGTCAGACTCACCAGGGCGGCAGGACAGGCACACCCAGCGCTTCTCCACCTTTAATGGTCTGGTTGCGGAGTCCAGTTGACATGGGCCTTGTCCTGATCAATGCACACTTTGGCCAGAAGCTCGATGGTATCTAATGTAATAGCAGTAATTCTGCTCCATCCTATTAGTGCTGTCTGCACAGACTGCCCTGCCTTCAAACCCATCTGCTGTTAGGATAGCATCCAATGTTTATTTCCATTAGTTTCGCCATTGTTGGTAACAATAAAAATCAGGAGACAGTTGCAAACTAATGATTTAGGAGCAGAGTAAAGCTGAGATCGACCTTGGCCCCTTTCCATCCACTGTGAAGATGCCTGGTAGTTGGCCATAAATTTAAATTACGGCAAAAGGATAACATAAGTTATTCCTCTGATGGCTAATTTTATCAGCTAAATAGGCTTGTCATTAAAGCTATCGGCTGTTTTACAAATCACTTCCCATCTTAAAAAAAATTTTCACTTCCCACAGTGGAGATCCTGAATAATCCAGGTAACAAAGGCTATTGTGCTGAGCCGGGGACTTGTGGCCTCTGTAGGAAAAGAAGGAGCTCTCTGGAACGAGTCAGCCTCAAGCCCCATCCCTGGAGCCAGCATGGAACCACGGCTCTATTCCTGCTATTCCTGCCCTTTGGCCCCTTTTCGGAGCTGCTAGCCCAGCCTCAAAGGCGAGGGACCTACGCAAGAGCCATTGGCATTCTCTCACGGGTCCAGAAAACCAGCAGGCAATGGGATCCAGTGACAGCCCTGGATGGGGAGATGGGCCCTGGCTCCCAATCAGACCACCCACCACCTCTTACGTCTGCTCTGGCTCCTCCACATGAAAGACAGTGAAGGGGATGGAGGGAGGGGCATGACAGCTTCCTCTCCCCACATCTTCCTCCAGCAGAAATGCCTGCAGTTTGCAGGGTCAAGATTATCATCTTGTTTCTTCAGGAAACAGGCCAGGGAGACAGGGCATTCCTCCAGGAAGGACTTTGGTAAGTGTGGCTGTGCCGCCTGCTGTACTGGAACCGGGGAAAGGGTAGGGAATGTTGTGAGCCCATTGGCCTTGTTTTCTGGGTTGGGTGACTGTGCAGGCGATGTTTTCTTCTTGGGCACAAAGACCACTTCTGACAGCATCTGGTGCCCCTAGTTGGTACTGTGTAACTGACTCTTGCCAAAAAAACAGGGGCAGAGCAATGTCACCATTTTCAGTCCTGGCCAATAAAAACCTGCTGTGCCCAATTCCCCAGCCTCATTTTCCTATCCACTGACTGGAGAAGACTCAGAGAACTTGGAGGAAGAAGGATCGGCTGGGCTTGGTGGCTCCCACCTGTAATTCCAGCACTTTGGGAGGCCAAGGTGGGCAGATCACTTGAGGTCAGGAGTTCGAGACCAGCCTGGCCAATATGGTGAAATCTCGTCTCTACTAAAAATACAAAAATTAGCCAGGCGTGGTGGCACATGCCTGTAATCCCAGCTACTCGGGAGGCTGAGGCAGGAGAATTGCTTGAACCCGGGAGGCAGAGATTGCAGTGAGCCGAGATCATGTCACTACACTCCAGCCTGGGTCACAAAACGATACTCCATCTCGAAAAAAAAAAAGTCACAAAATGGGAGCAGCCTGGAGGCCTGAGTGATTTGTGTGGAACGGAGGGTCCCTCCTCCACCCTGACCCATTGCAACCTGCATTGGACTATGATGAGAGTGACAAATGTACTCCTCCTATGTTAGGACACAGGTTTCTGGATTTGCCAGATGCAACAACTGGTGTTACTCACCCTAACTATCAGTGACTCAGGCAGACTCCTCTTTCTGGTGCAGGGAAATGGACATTGAAGCCCTGGGTTCCTTTCTTAGCCCCTCCATGAAAAACTGCAGGATCTGGGCAAAGAACAGCCTCTCTGAACCTCAGTCTTTCCATGTGAAGGGATTAATAGTACCCAGCCTGCCAACTTTCACCATCAAGGGAAAAATGAGCTAAAACATGACAGTGCATTTGTGAATGAGCAACCATCATACAGATACATTTAGTAGCATTTTATTCTCTTTTCTTTTTTTTTTTTTTTTGACTGAGGCTCGCTGCTGGAGTGCAGTGGCATGATCTCAGCTCACTGCAAGCTCCACCTCCCAGGTTCATGCCATTCTCCTGCCTCAGCCTCCCAAGTAGCTGGGACTACAGGTAACCGCCACCACACCTGGCTAACTTTTGGTATTTTTTTTTTTTAGTAGAGACGAGGTTTCACCATGTTAGCCAGGATGGTCTCCATCTCCTGACCTGCCCGCCTCGGCCTCCCAAAGTGCTGGGATTACAGGTGTGAGCCACCGCACCCGCCTGGTCTTTTTTTTTTTTTTTTTTTTTTAACCCTTACTGAGAGCCTCCAGTGGACCAGATTTAATTTGATGCATATGGCATCCACATAATGTAGGCCTTGTTACTGCCAGTTTTCCCAATGAGAAGCTGAGGCTCAGGGGTTAAAAGGGAGACGACTGGTCACTGGTGGAGCTGAGGTTTGAATCTGGCTTGCTGGCTCCCTGAATAAGAGGATTCTTTCCACTTCTCCAAACTCCCTGACAAGGGACTCACCTTTCCCAAGGTCTAAGAATGTCCTAAGGGGCTCACAGGTCCCACTGGTCTCCTTGGAGGCTGGACTTTGAGTCACCCCAGATTGAGCCTCATCCCTCAATATTTTGCCAATGATCTCAGGGTGAATTGTGCTGAGGAAGGACAACTTCAGAGAAGAGAAACTAACTTCCACAGTGGGCCAGGTCAAACCATACTATTTTGTACCAAAAGCTGTTACCAGGCTTAAAGGGGAAAGAGAAACTTCAGAATGTGCTTCGGAACTAGAGTGAGATCCGCGCATGGAGGTACATAAAAATCTCAGAGGTGGTTTTGTGAGATGGGTCAGAAGAGTATATCGCTGCATTGATTTAACCACTGCATCTAAAATGGCTTTGGTTTCTGAAGCAGCCAGGACAGAAAGACAGACCAGGCATCCACACCGTCTCTCTGAAGGGCGGCCTCTAGCATCGTGACTTTGGAATCCATCTGTGTACCAGCAAGCCTAACTCATAATGAAATTCTGACCAGGATCCACCCCTCACCAAAAAATAAAAAAATTAAAAAAAGAATGAAAAAGAACTTCCACCTAAGGAATTGCTGAATTCAGGGGTCAGAGGCCATGTGCTTCTATCACAGCAGTGGGGAGTCTGGAAGGGACTGCAGGAGGCATGGCCAGGGCTTTGGAATGGTATGACTGACCAGCAGAGTCCTCCTTCCATCCCAGGATGCTCTAGGCACCCCTCCCCAGGTAGGGATCTGTTAAGGATGGGGTGTGCCCACAACCAGAAGAGATCAAAGGAATGAGGGAAGTAGTGAAGCCTGTCTCCCTGTCAAAGCCACAGGGCCAGTGCAATCCAGGAGGGAAGGCACTGGAATGAGCGACAAGAGACCTGTTTTCGTCCTGGCCTCATAACTGCTGTGCCATGTTGGGCTCACCCATCCCCTTCTCTGAGCCTCAGATGCCCCATGTGCCAAATCCTGGGTTGGGCCAGCTGCCCTCCCAGGGGCCTTTCATCTGTTATACAAGGTGGTTCTGGAGCACCCTGGGTGTGGGCCTGTGGCAAGAAATGAGCACCTTGGGTGTGGGCCTGTGGCAAGAAATGTAGCACAGAAGATGAAATGAATCAGATATTCATGCAAGAAACTGGCCAACAGGCTCACCTGAGAGTCTCCACAGGGTCACGGTAAGAAGCAATGTAATCTTTCTTAAAAAGTTAAGATGGGCTGGGTGCGGTGGCTCATACCTGTAATTGCAGCACTTTCGGAGGGTGAGAGGGGTGGATTACCTGAGGTCAGGAGTTCGAGACCAGCCTGGCCAACATGGTGAAACCCTGTCTCTACTAAAGATACAAAAATTGGCCAGGCGTGGTGGCGGGCACCTGTAATCCCAGCTACCCGGGAGACTGAGGCAGAAGAATCTCTTGAACCCGAGAGGCGGAGGTTGCAGTGAGCTGAGATCGCGCCACAGCACTCCAGCCTGGGCGACAGAGTGAGACTCTGTTTCAAAAAAAAAAAAAAAAAGAAAGTCAAGATGAAGAAACAGAGAGTAACTGTGCAGTGGAAACACCTGACACATGCTGCCCCAGCCAGGTGATCCAGGTAACATCACAGTGAGAAGTCACGCGGCCAGCGTGTCCTCTTGATGTGACATGATGAGAATGGCACTTTCCCTCTGCAGTCTTCCTCCCAAAACCCACAACCCCAGGCTTACCCTGGGAAAAACATCAGATGAATCCCAACAGAGGGGCATCCTGTAAAACACCTGGCCAGTGCTCCCCAAAACCCTTCAGGTCATCAGAAACAAAGTCTAAGAAATTGCCACAGGCAGGAGAAGCCTAAGGAGACATGCTGACTGAATGTGATGTGGAGCAAATAGAGGACACAAAAGATTAAATACTAAGAACATCTGAGTACCGTATCAATGTGGGTTTGTGCACTGTAACAAATAATACCAGCGTATGATGTTAATAATGGGTAGCCAGGCACAGGTGATATGGGAAACTCTGCACCTGCTTCACTATTTTTTGGTAAATATAAAACTGTTCTAAAAAATAAAGTTTATTTTTTTAAAAAAGAGCTTGGTGAAGTTGTGGCAAATACTTGTACAAACAAATCCCAGCAAGAGAGCAAGAGAGTGCAAAGTGTTTTTTGTTTTTTTTTTTTAAGAGACAGAGTCTTGCTCTGTGGCCCAGGCTGGAGTGCAGTGGCGTCATTACAGCTCACTGCAGCCTCAAGCTTCTGGCCTCAAGTAGTCCTCCTGCCTCAGTCTTCCAAAGCACTGGGATTACAGGTGTGAGCCATTGCACCAGGCCAGGTGTTGTATTTAAACTTGGACCCTAACACATTTCATTGGTAAATGTCAATTTTTCAAGCAGCATACGTGAATTCAGTTTGGAAATAGCTTCATTATACTCTGAGAATTCCAGCAAGGAGAGAGAAAGAGTTTATCACAAAGAATACTAGACTGTCCTGGAATGGGGTTGGGGGTGCCATTGAGACCGCTGAGGGGAGCCAGGTCTGTGCCTGCAGTATAAGATACCCCAGGCCGGGCGCGGTGGCTCAAACCTGTAATCCCAGCACTTTGGGAGGCCGAGACGGGCGGATCACAAGGTCAGGAGATCGAGACCATCCTGGCTAACACGGTGAAACCCCGTCTCTATTAAGAAATACAAAAAACTAGCCGGGCGAGGTGGCGGGCGCCTGTAGTCCCAGCTACTCGGGAGGCTGAGGCTGGACAATGGCGTGAACCCAGGAGGCGGAGCTTGCAGTGAGCTGAGATCCGGCCACTGCACTCCAGCCTGGGCGACAGAGCGAGACTCCGTCTCAAAAAAAAAAAAAAAAAAAAAGATACCCCATGCATAATCTGATCAATGTTTTCACCGAGTGCTAAGAGGTGCCATGAGTAGGAAAAAGGAAGCTGAACATGATGGGCTGGAAAAGAACAGTGTTCACAGTTAGGACGCCTGGTTCTATGCCCCCTGGACTAGCTGTGTGCCGCCTGGGCGAGCCGCCACCACTGTTTTCTTATTTGTAAAACGGGTGTGTGGGGCAGGTGTGGTGGGGCTGGTGGACTCCCATCAGTTGCTACCCATCACATGTCAGGCTTTAGGTCACGCGATCTCATCACCATCCTTCAAGGATTCTATTACTACACACATTTTTCAGATTAGGAAAACCAAGGCCTATAGATGTCCCATTAATGCCCAAAGCCACAAGGCCAGTAATTGTTCTAAAGAGAGACGTATCTGGGTTCAAAGCCAGCTCGAAGTCTATTTAGAACCAAGTCTATTCTCAATCATTCCATGGGCTGCTGTCTCCAAAGGTCCAGCCATCCCTGACATTCCAGGGCCTGCGGTCTCATTTCCTCCAGAGTATCTGTTACCCAGTCAAGTCTCAAACCAGACCTGAAAATACAGCGTGAGCGAGGCGTCTGTCTGCTTCGCTCTGTGGAGCGGGCACCACAGACTCCAGGAGAGCAGCCCTCCTGGTCCCTCTGGCCAGGCAGCCCCCCACTGTCCCTGGCGGCCCCGCTGGGAGTCCAGCCTGTCTGGCCCTTTCTGCTGTCTTAACTAAGATGACAGGGTTCAGGTGTTTTTTAAATTAAAATGGTTTGTTTCTGTTCATCTCTTTTCCAGATGTCACTACCTGGAGGGAATCTGTCTTTATTTATTGGTTCTTTCCTGTGCAGAATGCAAGGGAGTTTCCCTCTGGCTGAGATCCCCGGGAAGGAGGCCACATGTGGAGAGTGACTTGAATCAGGACGGCAGCAACCTGGGGTCCCCGGGGGGCTCCGGACAGAGGCCATGGTGGAAACCCTGGGAGGTGGGGTTGCTGTTAGGATTTTCTCCTGGCCACGTGGCACATGTGTGGCTGAGGTGAGGCGTGTGGCAGGGTCAGCGCGTTCCCTGTGGGGCTGGGAGGCTGCGAATTTATGAGGGGCAGATGCAGCCCTATGTCCATGTCTTTCACGTTGCCAACTGCCGTGAAGTAGAGCATTTGTTTTCCTATTTGACAGCAGAATGAGAACTGCCTGATCGGCTTCCAGCTGCTTTCTGGATGACACCCTGGGCTTTCCTTTCCCCACTTTCCTGCAGCCCCCTCTGCCTAAAGCTAAGCTTCTCTCACCTTCTTCTCCAGCCTCTGTCCCCAGTCTTCCTATCTCCACCCTGCCCTCTCCATCCAGCCTCCAACAGCAGCCAGAAGGCTCCATCAACAACTCACATCTGAGCAGATCCCCCAGTCCTCCTTTTAATTCTCCAGGCTTCCTCTGTCCCAGCAGGATAAAGCCCAAACTCTATGGTCCAGCCACAGAGCCCCTTCCCAAGCCTGTCCCCAATCCTCCTGCTGCCTCGCTCTACTCACCCTCTACATGGCCCACTGCACCCACTCCCACACCCCACGCTATTCCCTCCGCCTGGCAGCCTTCTCCCTGGGGCCCTGCTCCACATCAGCGTCTCTGGAAAGCCTTCCCCACCCTGGCCTGCAGAGCCGGGGACGTGCCTGTGTGATGCAGGCATTGCACCAGATTTCCACTGCCTATTTATGGGCTGCTAAACCCCCTGAGTCACCCAGAGTCCCGTGAGGACAACGGCCACACCCTGTCCTGAGTGGCATCTGCATGCCCGGCACAAGCCCAGTACAGAGCAGCTCTGGACGGTGCTGGCTGACCACGCGATACGGCGAGAGAATGAATGAAGCTGATGCCAGCTCCTCAGGGTGGGAATGCTTCTCTTCCTAGTCTAGGATTCCATAGACTGCCCTGCTCTCAGGACACCTTGGACAACATGCCCCTGAAGGCCGTGTCCCCTGATGACCCCTCTTGTCATGCACAGGCATTCGGTGCGAAATGAAAGGTCATAGTGTTTCCAAAGCATATAAAAAGATTGGTTTCTTGACAGACATTCCGAGGAGATGATTCTGAAGACAGTGTGTGTGTATTCCTGTGGGGACATTTCCCAGGATCACTTTGTAGTGACATTCCACAGACGTGTCCCCCACCCCAAAACTATGAGAGGTTGGGGTTGGTCAGGGAGCCAAGAGGTACACTGAATATGCATTTACCAAGACCTGCAACACACACTGAATATGCATTTACCAAGACCTGCAACGCGCGGAGTGCTGGGAGTGCTGGTTGGGGCTGGGGCATGGATGTGAGTTGGACAAGGCTTGCCTTCAGGGGGCATCCATTTCAGTGGGAAGAGCTGCCCCAGGTATAAAGGAGCACTGACCATGGCAGTGAGTGCCCAGTGCCCTGTGAATGCAGACAAGTGAGGGCAGCTGTGGGGGTGGGGGAGGGGGTGCAGAGACTGCTGACGGGGGGAACACGCTCTGTAGAGAGGCCAGGACTTGAATTAGACAGACAAAGCTTGCAAGGGGCGGGGATTTAGGCAAGGGGCACCATGCAACCAAATCCCAAGAGGTGGCATGGCACAGGGCTTGTCAAAATGACAGGTGACTCCACTTGGCACAATCAGGGTGTTTATGCACCAGACGCATGAGACAGGAGGTTGATGGGACGGGCGGACACATAATGGCCCATACGCCAGGTTAGACCTCAGCCCTGAGACCCCCTTGGAGACTGCCTGGGCACCCAGCAATGGGGGAGGAAGAGGGACCCCAGGGGTGCCCACCCTTACTGCACTGCAAGCCAGAAGGACTCAGTGCCCATGTCAATATGAGGCCACGGGCATTCCTCCACTTTCACTGGCAGGACATGGGCTGGAAGACAGCCCGAGAAGAACTTGCCTGGCCCTGGGCACGGAGAGCCATAGGCTTGGTGTCTCTGGCTTGTGTAGTTGGGGGCAGTGGCCCTGTCCCCTCCCCAGAATCCATGGGGCAGAATGGGAATGACCATGCATGTCATTTGGCCCATCCCCCACATTCCCACCACCTTGCCAGTCCCCTCAGTAGCATTCCCACCTTACAGCCTGGGACCAGACTCTTCCCCACACCCAGAGCTGTGCTTCTACAGAGCTCTCAGCCTTGCTGTGGGTTCCAGCAGCCACCCCCTCCTAAGCACCCCAATCCCCTTCCTCTGAACTCCTCTGTCCCACTCACATGGGAGCAGCCACCCTATTTTACAGAGGAAGGAACTGAGGGCAGAGGGGTGGCCTGACTTGGCTGGAGTCTGGAGGGGTGGGAGCCGCAGGGCTAGGCCTTGAATGCAGGTCTCTGGATGCCCAACAGGGTGCTCCTGGCCCAGCTGCCAGTCCCCCTTGCCTCTGTTGAGACCATCCTTGCAGGGCCCACCACCTGCCTCTCCGAGTCTTCATCACGGCTCCTGGAGGGTGGAGAGCACCGCTAGCACCTTTCTGGGGCTCTGGGCGTCCTGTATGGCAATGGACATACTATGGTGCCCAGCAACCCTCAGCAGACAGAATTAGCCGCTGGCTTAAGAGACCAACCATGTCTCCGAGAAGACTCTGATGAACTGAGGGGGCAACCTGGCAGGCTCAGGTCGGGGAGCTGAAGAGTCACCGTGCTGCAGTGGAAAGAACCCTGGCCTGGGAGTCAGGGTTGAGTCTATGCCTAGCTGGGCTGTACATCAGCGACCCTGGAGATGTGCCCCCTTCTCTGGGCTTCAGGTTCCCCATAAGTCCAACAAGGAGCTGGAGGAACTCCCTGACCTCTGGTGCCCCTGCAGCTCTAGCAACCCGTGGCTTTAGGCACTACCAGTGTCCCCAGCAAGACCATGGACAGAGCCGAAAGTGGCGGTGCATTACCCCTTGCTCCTGACAGATCTGTGTCAGCCTCTCCAGCTGCTCGTCTTGGATGACCTTGGCCTTCTCATACTGCTGGATAACCATCTCCATCTCCAGCTTCACTGGCAGGACGTAGGCTGGAAGACAGAGACAGCACTGTAAAGAATTCAGCAGTGGCAGGGCTTGGGCTGGGGAAGGGCTGACCCAGCATTTAGCCAGCAGCAGGTTCGAGGCCCTGGGCCAGTTCTGTGGATCTAGAGGGAGAAATGTCCAGGTACCCGACAGCATCCAGAAAGTACAGAGGGCTACAACCTTTACTCATAGTGGCCAGGGTAGTTGTTTTCCTGTTTTCCATAGTGCTAGAACCCATACTTTTGGGCTGTGTGCACAGCTGCCTGGAATAAAGACTATTTTCCAGCCTCCTTTGCAGCTATGGGTGGCCACAAGACCACCCTCTGGACCATAGGATGCTAGTGTAGGTGGCAGGCAGCAGCTGCAGGAGCCATCTTCACAAAGGAGCTGGGGCCAGTGAGGATGGGGTGGCCCTGGAGCCTGCACACACTGGCAGAAAGGAAAACGGTGCAACCACTTAGGGAAACGGTTTGTCCGTTTTTCGGAGTGTTAAACAGAGAGTGACCATGTGACCCAGAAATTCCATTCCTAGGAACCTTAGGGGAAGGAAAACATGTGTCCACACAAAAACTCACACATGAGCGTTCATAACAGCATTATTCCTAATAGCCAAAAAGTAGACATAACCCAAATGTTCATCAACCGGTGGATGCATCAGCTGTGGTCTAGCCATGCAGTGGAGCACTACTTGGCAATGAAAAGCGATGCAGTACCACCACCAGCCACAACACAGATAAGCCTCAAACACAGGATGCTAAATGAGAGCGGCCAGACACAGAAAAACCACATGTCGCATGATTCCGTTTATATGAAATATAATGGAACAGAACAGGCAACTCCATAGAGACGGAAAGCAGCTCAGTGCTTGCCTAGGGCTGAGGCGGACATGGGAAGTGACTGCTGATGAGTGTGGGCTTTCTCTTTGGGGTGATGAAACCACTCCAGACTTAGATTTTTTGGTGATGGCTGCAGAACTCTATGAATATACTAAAAACCACTGAATTGTGAACTTTTATTTTATTTTGAGATGGAATCTTGCTGTCACCAAGGCTGGAGTGCAGTGGTGTGATCTCAGCTCACTGCAGCCTCCACCTCCCAAGTTCAAGTGATTCCCCAGCCTCAGCCTCCTGAGCAGCTGGGATTACAGGTGCCCGCCACCACGCCTGGCTAATTTTTGTATTTTTAGTAGAGATGGGATTTTACCATGTTGGCCAGGCTGGTCTCAAACTCCTGACCTCTAATGATCCACCCACCTCAGCCTCCCAAAGTGCTAGAATTACAGGCGTGAGCCACCATGCCTGGCTGAATTGTGGACTTTAAATGGGTGGATTTTATGGCATGTGAATTATATTTGGATGAATATGTTTAAAATAAGAAGGCAGTGGGCCTTCCTTTTGACTCTTTATCTTCTTCCCTTCCTCCTTCTCCTTGGCTAGGATGAGAATGTGATGGCTGGCACGGAAGCAGCCATCTTGGACCATGAGGTGACTTTGAAAAGTAGGCTAAGTGCAGCAGAGCAACAAAACAGAAAAATAGAAGGAGCCTGGGCTCTTGACTACAGGGAGTCAGTGACTGTAGTCAGGGCCATATCTGTCTTGGGCCACCTTCCTACAGACTTTTTTTTTTTTTTTTGAGAGAGAGTCTCACCCTGTCACCCAGGCTGGAGTGCAGTTACACTATCTCAGCTCACTGCAACCTCTACCTCCCAGGTTCAAGCCATTCTTAATGCCTCAGCCTCCCGAATAGCTGGGAGTACAGGTGTGTGCCACCACACTCAGCTGATTTTTGTATTTTTAGTAGAGACGGGGTTTCATTGTGTTGACCAGGCTGGTCTCAAACTCCTGACCTCAGGTAATCTGCCTGCTTCAGCCTCCCAAAATGCTGGGATTACAGGCATGAGCCACCATGCCTGGCCTGCAGACTTTCACGTGAATGAAATAAGCTTCTTTGTTGTTTAAGATACTGTTATTCTGAGTCTCTGTTACTCAGATGATCCTATTTATAACTGGTATAATGAGACCCAGAAGAGAAAGCCTGACCTCTGAGGTTGAGGGCCCCATGCTCCACCAGCCAGCAGTAGTCCCATGGACACCTCCCTTGGTGGTTCTGTGGGCTCAGAGTAGCTCTGGGCTCCTGGGAAGTCTCAGTGTCTACTCCTGACTTTGACACAGCCTTTCCCCTCACACTGTTCTCACACCAGCCCTTCCTGACTCTTCAGAAGCCTCGGTCACATGACTCTCTTGCCCCTGATTTATAGAACCCTCCACGTTTCCTCTCTCCCAGTCTCCTTTCCACCTGCAGTCTCTGCACCTCCACATGTTTCCTGGCAGTTGCAGGAACCAGCAGAGAACTTTTCTGCTTGCTTGCAGACTTGCGGGCTGGCCATGTGTCCCTGAGACCCATCTCCAGGTCCGGAGGCCTGCCGCCGCCTCCTCAGATCTCTGCTGAAGCCAGTTCACACCCAGGGTTATTTTGCAAGAGTAGTAAATTAACGTCCATCTGTTCACCAGCATGTCTCTCTCCTGAGGCTCCCGGTGGCTCCGCGATGCCTGACGTGTCAGGAAAAGGGCGGGACAGTTGGGAAGAGTGTCACAAAGGGGACTCTCAAAATCCATTAGTCTGAGGGTGTGCAGCTGTCCACAGCTGGAAGAAAGACCCAGAAGGTGCTGTTCCTACCCTGAGCGGGGTGGATGTTCTCATGGACAGAGCCCAAGCCCTGAGCAGACTGCAGGGAGTGAGCAACCGAAAGAGTGCTGGTGGGTGTCAGGGGTCCTAGGCTCCACTTCTGGTCCTGAGCCTGATTCACCAAGTGACCCTCATCCTTCTTTGCCTCAGTTCCCCCATCTGTCAAATGAGGGGGGTGAACCAGGTGATCTCCCAGAGCCTCCCCAGCCTTCCGAAGGCTTCTGAAGTGAGACCCAAACACATTCCAGTTTGATGAAGATTCCCTATTAGGGGACCCCTGACAAGATGTCAGCATCTTTATCAGGACCAAATCCCACAGTGTTCCCAGGGTGGAACACAGGGTGAGGCCCAAGGAGAGGGAGCCCGCCCTGAGGATGACAGCTTCTGCCTTGCACCTGCTGGGCAAATGCTGGTGGAATAGTGTCATGGCTACAATTTCTATCATCTGCAATCAAAATTCAGGGCTGGAAAAGACCGTGGCACCTATCCCAGTGGTTTAAAAACTGTGCTCCAGGAGGCCTGGCAGTTCCTTAGAGGTGCCTCAGAGGGCAAGGGAGAAGACAAGGAGGTGGGCTGTGAGGCTCCTCCACTCCAAGTCAACCAAAGCAGCTCCACTTGCAATCTCTTTTACAGATTGGGTATGATTTTGCTGAAGAAGGCTTTGCTGTCAACCAAACCAAACCAACAAAACATCCTGGGAACCACTGTCTATACAACCTCCTGGTCACTCTAGGGGGACCTCTATTGGAGGCTGACCAGCCCACTGTGAGTGGCTCTGTTCCTTATCTGACTGATGTGGCGTGGGCCTCTTCTTCCTGTCCTCAGGGACCAAGGACCACCCTCTGGAGCCCAGCAACTTGAGTCTTCCCTCTTCTGTAAGATGACTTCAGTGACCTGCCTGTGTCATCATCCTCTGGGCCACCCCCCACCCCGAGTATCCTGCACCATTCTCCAGGGGTGGGTTTTCTGTATCCCAGGTCCTCTGGGCCACATACTCTGGTCTGTCACCACCTTCTGGAAACACAGGAGCCACCCAGGTCAGGGCACAGCTTTCCAGACAAGGGTGGCCCAGTAGGGAGGCAATGATAAAGCAATGACAAAGGAGTGGACCAGATGCTTTCTGTGAATGGAGACCCAGGGGTGGAAAGGCATGTCACTGAAGATGACAGAAGCACAGGCCAAAGGCCAGCCCCTGCCAGCATCTCTCTTCTCTACTTGTTTGCAGGTCAACGGGCTTATGGGCACCCAGCTTGCCCTTGGTGGACTCAAAGGTGAGACAGAGCCTGTAGGGAGCAAGGCCTTGACTAGATGACCTGGATAGAGCCAGTGGTGAGGCTGGAGGCCATCGGGGAGCCAGCAGCAGGTGTGCACTGAGACACTCAGGGTGTAAAAGTCTGCTCCTGGCCGGGCTCAGTGGCTCACGCCTGTAATCCCAGCACTTTGGGAGGCCGAGGTGGGCAGATCATGAGGTCAGGAGATCAAGACCATCCTGGCTAACACGGTGAAACCCCGTCTCTACTAAAAATACAAAAAATTAGCTGGGCGTGGTGGCGGGCACCTGTAGTCCCAGCAACTTGGGAGGCTGAGGCAGGAGAATGGCGTGAACCTGGGAGGCAGAGCTTGCAGTGAGCCGAGAGCGCACCACGGCACTCCAGCCTGGGTGACAGAGCGAGACTCCGTCTCAAAAAAAAAAAAAAAATGTCTGCTCCTTCCAGAACGACAGGCCCTGCTCTAAGGGCTTGCGTGGAGGCTGGCCCTCCAGGCTCACAGTAAACAGCTGCATGGGAATGAACACATGGACCCCAAATGGGAGTTGGGAAGTTCAGCATGTGCATGCAACACCTGGGCAGTGTGTGTGATGGTGAGTGAGCAGGGACAGCTGGCCCCTCTCCCTGCTGACAATTTCACCTTCCACTCTGATGCCAGCAGGGCGTACCCTCATCACACAGTGTCTCCTCTCAGTTGACAGCCCAGTTTCTGGAGCAGCCCCACTGACCACATCCCCCTCGGGCCACTCACCATCAATGACCCTCTTCACCCTCCAGATCCGGAGCATGATGATGAGGCTGATGGCATCCCAGGGGCTCCTGGGTCCATTGGCCACAGTGGACGCCACCATCGGAGCCAAAGATAGGATGATCACAGCCCCGTCAAACACCTGTGAGAGGAGGTGCATTTCAGTGCCCTGGGCCCTGCCGCGTGATTGGGACCAGGGGTCAGTCAGGCAAAGCAGCTGGTGCTGCTCAACTTCTCCAGCAGCCCGGGGCCCCACCAGAAGGCCACCCCATCCCTGGTGGCCCCTCCTGACCCTCCTGAGTCTTTAGGGGCCTCCTCCTCCTAGATGTTCTCCTGAGTGCACTCTGTCCTCCAAGTGACCTCAGCCCATCTCCAGCCCTTAGTTCAGATGGCCTTGGGCTGTCTTGCCCCTTCTCAAGATAAGGCCTGCATTCTGTATCCCAGACCCTGGGCAGTGGCCAAGCTGGATCCCTCCCTGGCAGAGCAGGGGCTGAAGGCAGGGTCAGGGTGTCTCCTTCCCCGGGGGGAACAGGAGCCTGGAGCCCACATCTCAGCTCTGTCCAGTGCAGAGTCTCTAACCCTCCAGGGAGGCAGGGCTAGGCAAGAAGGGGGCCCAGCCTGCACAGTGAAGCCTTGGGCCCCTCCCTTCCATCTGCCTGCTCCAGCCTGGCCGTGTTCTGAGCCATCCATCGGCCAGGCCCACTGTGTCAGATCCCAGCACTGAGCCAAAGAGGCTGAAACCTAGATGGAGAGGTGAGGAAGCAATGGGCAGCAGATCTTGACCATCTTGCCTTGCCTGTGTGCACAACACTGCCAGTGACAGCCGGGCCTCCCTGACCTCGTCCCACCCACCACGCCCCACCCTCGTGGCAGGAAGCAGAAAGGAAACCCAGCCTGAGAAGCACGTTGACAGTTTCCCACTCAGCTTTCCATTTAGGGTGAATTTATTTGTTTCAAAACACATTTCAA